TTTTGTCAACAAATTTTTGAATAATTGAATTTTTGCGACGAATTTTAATAAAATTTTTAATTACATTTCTTGATGAATTCGATTAAAATTGTAATAAAAATAATTGAAATATTTAAAATTCTATTTTTAGTTTTATTATTTATGAAAGTAATTAAATCTTAGTAAAAAATAATATTATTTATGCAAATAATTGTATTATTGACAAGAAATTTATAAGAACATTAATTGTAAATAGTTGAATTCCTGCGTGAAATTTGTATTATTTTTGAAAATAATTATCTAAAAATGTTTGCGTAGAATTTTATTAAATTTTTTATTACATAATTGAATTTTTATGGAAATTTTTATTAAAATAGTATATTGAAAATATATATTGAAAATGATATGATATTGAAAATCATTTTTAAGAAAACTTTTTGAAAATAATTTAATTTCTGCGAAGAATTCTATTATTCTTGAAAATAATTGAATTTCTGCAATAATTTGTTTTGTTTTTTAGCGTTAATTACTTAAACATAAATTAAAAACTTTAACTAATTTCAGAAGAATATTTGAATTATTAACAGTTTTCAAAAATCTGATAGAAAATCTAATTTTTAAAAATTTCTTGTAAAATTCATTCAATATTGAAATTTTCTAATATTTTAAATTAAAACCTTTTAACGTTCATCTAGTTATGAAAATTGTGAATTCAACTCTTTTAGAATTTAATTAATTTTGAAATATTTAAGTAAAAGTATTCATTAAATAATTTTATGATTGCTCTTCAAGAATTAAGTTATTTAAAAAGAAATTTTTGTCAGAAATAGAAAAAATTGAAGTTTGTATATTAAAATTCGTGGTAATTTCATAGTTTAGCAAACAAAAAAAATATTAAAATTTAAAATTTTCTTATGAATTTAAAGAATTTAATTTTGCCACTAGGTACTTTTAATAAAAATGTCTGACTTTTCCTTGACCAATTCTACTTTCTCTGAATTTTTCCTGAATTCCCTGACTTCCTTGACCTGTGGCAACTCTGAATAATATAAATAAATTAATAAATATATTATTATTATAAAATTTCAATAATTCCATAATTTCGGAAAATTTTTCAGATACAGAAAAATTTTCTTTTTTGCTCTAAAAAAAGAAAATCGATTCTAAAAAAAAATAGCACACACACATATGAATTTCTATATGATATGTATCACGAGTGGATAATTTAAAATGAACGTTATACAAGTGTTTATGTCCGATTGCAGATTTATCATTGTTTCTATCATTACCATGAATTCATAATGACTCCCGGAGACCTTCGGATCTGGTGTAATTCTCACAGTGCACACACCCACGCGATCGCAATGCGTCTTGCACAAACCAGTCTATGAGGAGCAAATATACTTATATATATATATTTAGATTTATTATGGAAGCCATTCGCATTTGCCACAGAGCGAACGATTCTCGCTATTTTTTTCAAGGACTTGGAATACTAATCGCTTTTGCTTTAACAAAGTGGGAAGTCACGAAAGATTCCCTAATCACTTTTTTCTTTCTTTTTTCATCGTTTCTCTATAATAAACGTGTACAAAGTCGAGAAAAATAGTTTTTTACGATGCTTTTGTTTCACTAATACTTGTAAATTCGAATTGTAGACGGCTAACGTATTTTTTAGTCTATCATAAACGTATTAGCATAATTTTTATATTTCATACTCGCATAAAAATATTATAATTGATTTTGAATTAGAAATTCAATTATTTTCAAAAGTAATATAAAATTCTTCGCAAAATTTCAATTTTATTCAAAAATTTTCCTCAATTCACACAGAAAAAAGTGAGTGTCATTTTAACACTGAATTCGGTGTTAAAAGTGTCTGCATCAAACTTTAGCTCGGGAGTGTTATTTTAACACCGAAAATAAGGTAAATTTTCTATTATAGAAAATTTATCCTCACTAAAATTACCCTACCAAAATTTACCCGCATCAAAAACAACACTCGCTTTTCTCTGTGCAATGATTTTCAATATCTACTATTGATAATAAGATTTTTCAAAAGATTTCAATTATTTTAAAAAAGTGTTGATAAAATTCTAAGCAAACATTAAATTATTTTCATAAATAATAAAAATTTCACAGGAATTCAACTATTTACAAATTTTTTATAAATTTCTTGTGAATTATTCAATTATTCTTTGCATAAATAATATTTTTTACCGAGATTTATTAAAACTCGTCAAAAAAATTGAATTATTTAAAAATTTGTTGATAAAATTCTTTATGAGGATTCAATTTCGATGAACATTTATTTATTCAATAAATTATTACATTTTTAAAAAATAATTGAATTCATTTTAGAAATTTAATTAAAATAGTAGATTTTGAAAATATTTGAATTTCAGCGAAGAATTTCATTATTTGTGAAATGCAATTGAATTTTTGCAAAGAACTTTTTGAAAATAATTACATTTTATTATTATATATTTATTATTATATTCTATTATTTTATTTTACATTGTATAAAAAATAAATAATAATTAAAATCATATGAGAAATTTTATTATTTACAAAAATAATTAAATTCTTTGAACGAATTTTATTACATTTTTTAAATAATTGAATTCATGTGAAAAATTCTATTACAAAAATAATTAAATTCTTGCGAAGGATTGTATTAAAATTTTAAGGAATTCAATTATTTTCATATAAATAATAAAACTCGTCGCAAAATTAAAATTATTTTTAATACAATTTTAATCAAATTCCTCGCAAAATGTAAATATTTTTTAAAAATTTTATTAAAATTCGTCGAAAGAATTCAATTATGTAAAAATTTTGTTGATAAAATTTTTTAAGAGAATTTAGTTTTCGGAAACATTCAATTATTCAATAAATTATTTATTTCTCTATTTAAATAATTAAATTCTCGTAAAATTTTCTCATAAAAATTGATTTAAAAATGAATTTCAGTTAAAATTTTATATATAATAATTGAATATTAAGAGGCTCATAGCGTGAATTTTTAGAAAATAATTTAATTTTGTAAAGGTTTCAAAAATTCAAATCCGTAGAAATCTGAATTTTTCATACTATTAAACTAATAACAATTTCTGTATTATTAACAAAGTATAAAAGTAAAAAATCAAAGACAATCGATAATAATTTCAATTTGATATCGTTACAATGATTGCTATTGTTTTCAACTTATAATAAATAAAATTAAATGTCAGTTTGAAATAAACTTGGATAAAATGAGTGTTTCTTAAAAATTTTATTTACAAAGTGATGAATTGTGTAATTAATGAAAAATTATTGATTTTCAGTAGAAAAATAAAATTATTAGTGACAAAATTAGTAAAAAAAAAAAAAAAAAAAAAAAAAAAAAAAATTGAATCAGTTAATAACAATTTATTTGATCTTTTATCCAATCAAGTATTATTGACTGTCAGTGAAAAAATAACTGATTATTATATCAGTAAACAAATTTTTAGATCTAGTTAAAAATTTAATTGATTTAAAAATAGTATTAAATCTGTTACTAAAATTTGTTGGATATATTATTTTTAATTGACAATTAGTTTATTATATATAGAGATTAACAAAATGCTCCGAAATTATACTGTATCTCAATTAGTACATTTTTACTAAATTTAGTATTTTTAGCACGTTTAGTAAAATTTTCGTGAATTTTAGTCAATTTAGATTTTTAGTACGTTTCGTACTTTTAGTCAATTTTATTACATTTGGCTCGTATTTGGTACTTTTATTAATTTTTAATAAATTTGTTACTGTTAGTAATTTTGCGCTTCCTCTTGAGGAAGCTTTGCGTATTTAAAAGTGAATTTTGGTATTTTTAGTAAATTTTTAGTGACTTAGTACTTTCAGTAAATTTTTAATGCTATTAGTAAATTTTTAGTAAAATGGATTCCGAAGCAAAATTTCCTTATATATCCAGAAATAGTAAATCTTTTTCTCCACATAGTAAAAACACCTAATTCTTTTTTTTCTCTCTCTCAAAATTTATTTAAACAATAACAACGAGAATGAGAAATGAGAAAAAAAATATATCCATAAACCTACCTGTTTTATATATAAAAGAAAAAAAAATACATCCCCTCGTGTTTATTTTTAATAAAACTCGAATAATCTTCTCTTTTTTATGACTTCCTTTTACAAATACTCCGAAACTGAACGGAATCAAAGTCTTTGTATAAAATGTAGTTTTGTCCATTTTTGTTTGTCTGCCACCTTTTTGATATTATCTTCATAAGAGAGTGAGAGAAAGAGTGAGGAGGAGGATGAGGGGATAAATATAAGAAAAAAGAAAAAAGAAGGAGTGGGGAAAAGAACAAAGAAATGAGAGAAAAAGTCGATCACCTGAGCCAACACAGTGCATATACATAAAAGTCTCTCTCTAATCTTTGTTCGTCCTGAGCAGTCACTGACACTTTATTATGTCTTTATATATATAGTCACAGATCTTTTTGCTCGCAATTTTTCGATATGTGAACAATTTTCAAAAGTGTAAAGACATTATTGCAAATAAAATTTTTTTTATTGCTTAATAATAACTTATTAAGCACTTCTTAAAGAGAAGCTTTCGAAATATTGAATAAATTGTTCCTTTAATTTTTTGGTTACAGTTCCTTATATTTCTATATATACTTTTGAAATCGAGGAATTTTATGGGCAAATAATATTTAATGTATATTTTTTTAATTTTGATTCCATTTAATTATCAGCAGTATATTATCTTTTATTTATTATGTACACAAATTAATTTATCAGAAAAAATATCAAATATGCTGAACAGTTCTGGAAAATTTGATTGTATAGTTTAAAATTTCTTTCAATTGCTCGAATACTTTTTTCTAGAAACTTTAAGAACTGTCCAGTATTTTTTTTTTATTAAAGTATAATAAAGATTTAATAAATATTAATATTAGAAAAAAAGGAATAAAAGAATTTTGTACATAAAAAAGTTGTTGATTCTAATTCTACATTTTTATATGTTCCAGATAAGACTCGATGACAAGAACCAACATCAGCTTTATTTAAAGGTAAATTTTTTAATCTGTATTCAAAAATATCGTATTTTTCATTCCTTCATTATAAAGATTATTTCGGATAGATTTTGATTTACAGCACACACAACAAGTTAATTGAAATTAATTATCCAAATAATGAATATGGTTAGAATTTTCGCAAAATGTTCCAATCAATAGAATCTTCAATTATTGTCACGCGTCGATAATAATATTTTGTACACATTTATAAATTGTATATAAATATATACCATTGAAGGAATTCTTAAACTTGTTTATACTTTGTGGTTTGATATCACGTGATGCTTGATTTCATTCCATCGATGGTAACATTTGCACGTGGACAGAGAGAATCGCTTCTGAACACCTGTTGCGCGATTTCAATAGGTCTTAATATCATTCTGCAGATCTTTAAACTCTTTTCATTCAAGGTTATGAATCCTTGTAGTCGTATAATTTTCGCGCATATTATTTTCAAACAACATAATGGATTTACTTTTCATTTTCTATTGTTTCGGATTTGAAAAAAAGAGGTATTGTTCTTTTTTAATTACGCTTCTCGCAGTGGGTCAGTATTGTTCCTATATATTAGAATCACTGCTAATTTTACTATAAATAGGTATTAAACCCTAGTCTTAGTACTAGTATTAGTATATTTCATTAATTAAATAGTATTAGTATTTAATTAATTAATTAGTATTAGTATTTAATCAAATTAAAAAGTAAAGTTGTACTAAAAGTAAAGTTGGTACTTAATCATTTTATTGATTTTTCATCACTTCATTAGCACAGTTTTTCTAATGATATCAAATTGAGACAAAAAACGAATCAAAACGTTGCTTCGCAACACTTTTGCCTCGTTTTTTGTCTCAATTTGATATTCGCAGAAAAACTGTGAGCAATAAATAAAAAATATTTTCATACTGTCCAGAAAAATTTGCTACAAATACAGAAATAAAATTTAGACGTCTTTTTCCTTAAATTTTTATCTTCTCCTGACGTTCGGCTGTGTCTGTTACGACTTAAAAGTTAAAATAAAATTTTTAGTTCTTCAGAATGTTCTTTAAAAATATTCCAGCAACAATTTTAGTTATTTTCAGCCCACAAAAATTAGTAGGATTAAAAAAAAATTTAGTTTAAACCTTTAAACTTCTTTTTCCTAAATTTTAATGTTTAATGTTTGCTTAGAATTTTATCAACACTTTTTTTAAATAATTGAAATCTTTTGGAAAATTTTATTAAAATAGAAAGATATTGAAAATCATTGAATTGAGGAAAATTTTTGAATAAGTAATTGGAATTTTGCAAAGAATGCTATCAAAATTTTTTAAAATATACTTAAATTTTGGGGAAGAATTTTTTATTTTTAAGATAATTGAAATTTTGACACGGCATTTTTAAAATGTTTTTAACAAAATAATTGAATTTTTGCGAAGAATTTTAATACATTTAAAAGTAATGGAATTTACAAAAAGAATTTTTATTATTCATGAAACTTATTTAAATTTAAATTAAATTTTCATAAAATTTTCAAAAAAAAGAAATTAAATTATTTTTAAAAATTTCAATAAAATAATTGGCATAAATTCAATTATTTTTACAAGTAATACAATTTTTCACATGAATTCAATTATTTAAAAAATGTAATAAAATTAATTGTAAGTATTCAATTATTTTCATAAATAATAACATTTCTCATAGGATTTCAATTTTTTTTAATACAATTTTAAATAAATTCCTTGAAAAATGTAATTATTTTCAAAAAATTTCTTGCAAAAATTCAATTACATTTCACAAATAATGAAATTCTTCGCTGAAATTCATATATTTTAAAAATCTACTATTTTAATCAAATTTCTTAAATAAATTCTATTATCTTTAAAAAATGTAATAACTCTATTATGAGTTTTATTATTCATGAAAATAATTTAATGTTTGCTTAGAATTTTATCAACACTTTTTTTAAATAATTGAAATTTTTTGAAAAATTTTATTAAAATAGTAGATATTGAAAATCATTAAATTAAGGAAAATTATTGAATAAGTAATTAAAAGTTTGCAAAGAATGTTATCAAAATTTTTGAAAATAATTAAATTTTTGAGAAGAATTTTATTATTTTTAAAGATAACTAAAATTTTTTTGTGGCATTTTTAAAAATTTTTGAACATAATAATTGAATTTCTACGAAAAATTTTATTACATTTGAAAATAATTGAATTTATAAAAAGAATTTTATTATTTATGAAAATAATAATTTTATCAACAAATTTTTAAATAATTGAATTTTTTTGACGAATTTTAATAAAATTTTCTATTACATTTTTCGATGAATTCGATTAAAATTGAATTAAAAATAATTGAAATTCTATTCTAAGTTTTATATTATACATGAAAATAATTGAATCTCGGTAAAAATCCCTGACTTTTCCCTGACAGATGCTACTTTTCCTGAATTCCCTGATTTTCCTGATCTGTGGCAAGCCTGGAAATGTTAAAATATTTTTAAAATAAAAAACTTGCAGAATTCCCATGAAAACTCTATGGAATTTTCTTTAGTAACAATTTTGGAAATATTAGAAACTTAAACAGTAGGAACGAGGAAATATATTTAGAGAAAGTTTTTAGAATCAGTAAACATTTTGTGACCATTCGTGAGGAAAAATTAAAATAGTTATTTTTTTAAGAGTAAAAATTTTAGGAAAATTGGTAAATTAGTTAAAAATAGTTTTTTTTAATTAGTAACAGTAATGTTAGTAATTAGTAACAATTTTGAGTTAATTAAAAAGAACAAATGGATTAATAAAAAAAAATAAAAAAAATTGAAAATAAGTTCGAAAATTAAAAACAATTTTCTAAAATTAGTAGAAATTTTGAGACATAACTGTGGAGGGGAAGAAATAAAAAAACAGTTTTTATTCTTAATGAAGTGAAAATTTTGAGATAACTGGTGGCACTCGATATATATATAGATAAACATTTATAGAATATAAGGAGCATGCGTAAAGTTTTTAATTAGCGTCATGGAGATGGAAGGAAATCCCCTGATACGTCATAATGTCGCGCGTTGCCAAGTAGTTCTACTCTAAACAAACCAGAAACGTTGACCGCTTTTAGTCGACGAGTAATAAGGCGAAAACGTTTTTTGACAGTTGATTAACAGACTCGGATTCCTCACCATGAATTATTGCTCACATACGGAAAAAAATGCCATACACACACACACACTTAAAGCTGCGCATGAAAAATAAAATCGTAAAAGTCAATTTAAACTTTTGAAAGCCGTAACACAAGTTTTCATAAAATGTAAACCTTATTTTCTTTGCTATGAAGCCTGGCAATTTTTTTTTTTCTTTTGTTTAACATAAAATAAATTTAAACAATGAAAATTTTTGTAAGAAAGTAATTTTTAAATTACAAAGTTCGTACCAAAATAATTTAAAAAATCTCCACTTTTTTAAAATTAAAAAATTATAAGATTTTGTAAGAAAATAATTTTAAAACTAAATATTTTGTATACGAAAATTATTTGCAAAATAAAGATTTTGCAAGAAAATAATAGTCGCGTGAGTCCGGGGCCCGAAAGATTGATAACAAAAAGTTTAACATTAACAGAAATTATAAATAGAAAAAAAAAATTTTATATTAAAAAATTTGTTATAATTAAACGTTTTCGAGTGCTTGGCGTTTTGCCGCCTTTTCTTTTGCGTCATCGTCACAAAATTAGTGACGAGCGAAAAAAAACAAGCGCGAAAAATACAAATACAGATAAAAAATAAAAATACAAATAAAAATTGAAAAATACAATTAAGAATAAAATAAAAAATTGTTCCTGAAAAAAATTAATTTCTATTCGAATGGTGCAAGAGGAAAAATAGAGATAAATTCCAATTGCGCCAATATTTCATATTGTAAATATAGAATAACGAAAGGATAAATAGATTTTGACTTGACCGTGGTTTTTGCGAAGATGAAGAAGAAGAGAAGAAGAAGAAGAAGCATTTAAAGTTTGAAAATCTAAACTCCACGAGAAGAACTCTATTTGTAGCTCTCAAGCAACACTGCGCTTTGGCAACGTTCAACTCACTCTGTTTTTCTTTGGAATTCGAGAAGCAATTTTACTCGCACATATTGGCTAAACTGTATCACACTCTCGCGTTACGTTTATATTTGCATTTTGTGACAAAAGATCTGCTGCAGGTGGTCTTAAAACTATCGCTAAAGCTTACACGTGCTAAATACATACGTACAAGAATATCCCTTTTTCCTCCGCTGCTTTGGATTTAAAGAAACAGAAAAAAATTCTCCTTTGTAGCAAAAACAAAAAAAAAACAGAAAAATTCTTTTTTTGCAAAAAAAATCATTTTTCTGTTTTTTTCTGATTCTTTTTTTTACAGAAAAATTCTTTTTTTTACAGAAAAATTCTTTTTTTTGCAAAAAAAAGAATATATTCTTGTTTGTACCAAAAAAAAGAATCGACTAAAAATATTCTTTTTTGTAACAAAAAAAAGGAATCAATTCAAAAAAATTCTCTGGTAGCAAGGAAAAAAAATCCAAACAAAATGCAAATATTCAACGAAAATTTTATTCAATACATTTTTTTGTAAGTTTCTTTTGCCTAAGGAATTTATCGCATCTGTTTTAAAAAAAAAAAGTGGCTGAAAATATAAATATCCTATAATTCTTGTCTTATAAATTTTTCGCGTTTTCAAAAGAGAAATAAAAATTTGCATATTATGTCAGACGAGAAGGACACTGAAGTACGATTTATAGAAATAAATAACAATGACTATTTTTATTAGCATGTGAGTATTTTTACCAGTACTAATACTATTATTATTACGAACTATTAATAACAATACTATTAACAATTATTAACTGTATTTCAACAATATTTAATTATTTGCAAAATGATTTGTAACAAAATAAACTATTTCTAACAATAGGTATCATTAACTTTTTACCATTAATTTTTTTTAATTCTGGTATTTGTTATGAACTGAAATTTAGCTGAATT